TTCCTTCCCTCCCAATATTGATATTTTATACTTGATAATTTATTATATGCTTTCTACTTTATCTAAAACCTTCCTGATTTTAATTACATTTTCAATCCAAGTGCAGTGGGAAAGATTTAAAATAGAAAAGAGAAAAAACTAACCTGAATAGGAACATGGAGGTGAGAAGGAGGACAGGATCCAAGCCAAATTTCTAACTCCATTATCTTTGCCCCTTTTATAACTATACCTTCCTAAAGAGGTCAAATAAAGGAGAAGTATGTTGAAAGGGAGAGGATGCTGGATGTACAATTGGGAGACATAGATTTGAATCTTGGCTCTGTTACACATCTGATTTTAAGCAAGTCTCTTAACATATCTGGACCTCAGTTTCCTCATCTATATAAATGGAGAGAATAGGACCAAATAACTTAAGACCCTTCCAGTTCTAAATCTATGAACTATGAAACATGAAGCTAGAACAATACGCTTTCCATATTTACTCTAGTCTTTTATCTCTCCGAGGCTGCCAAACATGCCTGGCAATTAGAACAAATTGGGGCAGTGCCATCTGCAGTGAGTTGACATCTGTCCATTAGGGGAGAAACTGGACTGAAATCATGTACGTTACTTCCCCAGCAACTGCTAGAGTATCATCAGGCAATAATGACTTTCTGTCACTACTGACTTCTACTGCATATAAACTGATGATCTGTCTCTGATAGGATCTTGATTGAGATTTTGCTATACATTTGTCTTTCTACACTGCCCCATGGATTTTTTTCCTTAATTAAGGAAATCATGCCAGGGCACTGGTGTGCTTGTCTTTTTCTCTGAAGCTCCAAGACTAGACATTTTTCTTCCTTAAAATATTTCCCTCAATATTTTTCAATTTAATTCAACAAACATTCATTAAATAACTGTTACAATACCACAAGGTACTGTGGGATGGTACCAGAGATGCAGACATAAATAGAACATAGATCTTTCTCTCAAGTACCTTACACACTAATGAGGAGAAAAGAAAATGAGGGACAATGTGAACACAGATGGAAATGAAAGGAATAGTTCCATTTGGTCAGAACTTGGAGTATAGAGAGAAAGGAGTATTATGAAGTAAAGCTTTAAAAATAAAAGTAAGTTTAAGAAAGATGGTGAATGGACTTGAAAGCCAGGACCAGGAGTTTACACTTTATTTTTCTGGAAATGGGAGCAATTGAAGCTTTCAGAGTAGAAGAATGGTATAACCAGATTTGTGCATGAAGACACGAAAACACTCCTTTCATTCTTTCAAAATTCTGCTTAAAAGTTACTCCATTCATGAATTTTCCCACATTAATCGAAACTAATACTTGGTCATTCTAATTACTCCATAACATGGCTTTCCTATTGTACCTTTGCCTCCATTCCACTACATGTTAGACATGGCTTAACCAGTGAAACTATGTACATGTATTTATTTGTTTGTTTGTTTGTTTTAAGACAAATATAAACATGTGAATGAATATTTGCATCTTTAAAGGAGTCACTTTGAAAGACTACTCCTATTCCATCAAAGCTAAGATTGCTCAAAACATTCTTGGGCCTTTTTCTGTATTGACTGCGGAACAAGTCTTTTCACCACCCAGAAAAGCCAGTCCTATAATTTTATCATGATATTTTATTTTAAAGCAAAAACATTATTCCTTAACTTGGCCACCCACTTCATATACCAGATGTGGCTGTGCATAAATATTGGATCTTTATAAAAATGAAATTTAACCTAAAAGGATGAAGTTTTTCCCTAATCTAGGTGTCCAAGAGAATATAATACAGGCTCTGAAGAGCATTTCAAATATGGACTTCTAAAACTGTTGTAATCAAGTACATTTTCATTGCAATGGATATCTACTCCCTAGGTGAGGATATCAAATAGATAATAGACTCATTAGCATGTAGGAGCTCTGGTCAGTGCTGTAGAAATTAGTCTCATTGCTTTATAGCCAATGTTCATGCAGCACTAAATAAGAAAACTTATCATATACTTTTTATTGAGCTAGATCTGCTGTGTGTTCCTATGTATACATCCATGCCTTATCTGTGTCTCCCATATTTAACTGTAAGTCCGTAAAGTAAGGGACTGTGATAACTTCCAGGACACGGTAAAAAAAAAAAAAGCTAGATTTGCAATCAAGATCAAGAACTCTTAGAGGTCATCTAGTTCAGCCTATTGGAATCCAGGAAAAACTTAAGAGGGACTTCTAGGTCGTACAATGGATAGTGATAGGCTTGGAATCAGGAAGGTTCATCTTCTTGAGTTCAAATCTGGCCTCAGAAACTTACTAGTTGAGTGACCCAAGGGCAATTCACTTGATTCTGTTTGATTTAGTTTCATTATTTGTAAAATGAGCAGGAGAAAGAAATGGCAAACCACTCCAGTATCTTTGCCAATAAAACCCCACATAAGGTCATGAAGAGTAGGACATAACTGAAGACAATTGAACAACAACCAAGACTTAAGAGTTATTCTCCAATTTCACAAATGCATTGTGCTGAGAATTCTTGAGAAAAACAAAAACAAAAACAGAAACCTGTTCTTTCTATCTAATTGCAGAATTAATATTCCTGACCAGTCCAGGATGAAATGATCTCTCCTTTCTCTGGACCCCTATATAACCAATCCTCTTCAATGTGTCCAAAACAGAACTCATTGTATTTTCCCTACTCCAAATTTCCCTAATTTTTTTGAAAGAACATCCACACTTCAAATCCATCCAATTTGCAGCCTTGCAGTCATCTTTTAATTCCCTCTCCCTAACCTTCCATATTCAACCATGTCCTAACTTTTTGTTCATCTACGTTTATTTTATTCATGCACTTTTCTTCCTACAAAACATATACTTAATTTAGGCCATCATCATCTCTTATTTAGATATTCCAATAATTTCCTGTCTTCATACTTTCATTCTCTCCCTTGTCTAATTCATCCTCCATAAACATGTCAAATTGATATTCATAAAAGGCAACTCGTAGGTGGTCCAAAGGAATGCTGGCCCTGGAGTCAGGAAGACCTGAGTTCAAATCAGTCCTCAAATACTTACTTGATGTGTGACATTGGTCAAGTGACTTAACTTCTGCCTGCCTTAGTTTCTTCAACTGTAAAAAACGGTAGCAACTTACACCTCTTCCCCAACAAGATTGTTGTGAGGATCAAAGGAGATAGTAATTGTAAGGCACTTAGCCCACTGCCTGGACTGTAGGAGGCAAGTGGTAAATGCTTATTCCACTCCACTTCCCTATATCATTCAACTATTAAAATAGCTTTCTATCACCTCTATGGTAAAATATGAAACATCCAGCTGATCTCTTAAAAGCTTTTCACAATCAGGGTTCTGCCTATCTTCCCAGCTTTATTTCCCTTTATATCCTCTTCATTCCAGCTAAACAGGCCACCTTGCTGTTTTTCAAATGTTACATTTCATTTACCACCTCTGATCTTTGCACAAATGGCCAGCTATATCTGGAATGCATTCCATTCTCACCTCTGCCTCAAAGAATTCCTACCATCCATCCAAATACAGTCAGATGCCACCTCCTATGCAAGTTCTTTCCTGAGCTCCCTATTTGTTAGTATTTTCTCTTTCTTGAAATGACTTTCTGTAAACTTAGCAATGACTGATAATCTTACCAGGAGAATATAAACTCTCAAAAGGTAGAGACTGCTTCACTTTTGTCTTTGCATCCTCAGAACCCAGCCATGAGCCTTGCACAAAGTAACTGCTGATTAAGTGTTTGTTGAATTGAATTGAATTTTTCAATGAACTGAGTGGGGCCTCCTGACATCTACCTCTCCAATAGTTTTATCTGACATAATGTGTAGTAAATCTTTCCTTTTCACTCTTTTTTGGTATGCTTAGTACTTGCCTTCCCAGGTACAATTTAACCTCCTGGAGGACAAAGACTATTCATTCACTACACTTTTGTTAGTCATATCTGTTGTTGTTGTTCATCCTTCATTCTAGAAAAGAGGACCATGGCATCAGGAAGTTATGCCATGACTTGCAAATGAATTGGATTTAAGTGAGGGAGAGCTGTGCAAAGTCACCAGTCTCACTTTCTCCCCCAAGAGCTATCTGGGTCCAGTGGTGAGATATAAATCAAGGTGACTAGAGATGGCTCACTAGTCACATCTAGAACATAGCCCAGTGCTAGTATCCACAATAAATATTTGCTCTCATTTTTTTTAAAGTTCTTGCCTCTATCTATCCATTTCCCTCCACATATTATGCTTTCTTATGTTATCAATAGTAATAGCAGATTTGTGTTCTATACTTGATAACACTTCATATCTCTGAAGCTACTTGTTCTTTGTAAATATGTTTGCAGCTTTGGAATTCACATGGATATCTTCACTAACAAATAAGCCTCCTTGTGATCGTCTTGTTGAAAGAAGTAAATATATCTTCTAGGACTCTATTAAGGATACTAGCCATAATGACAGCCTTTCTGTGTTGAAAGGTGACTTTGAGGTGAGAGTACTGAATCCTGGGGGAGTCAAATGACTTGTTCATGGTTTCTGAAGTAGTTAGTAGGAGAAATGAGGTGATAACTTGGGTTACCTGAATTCCAATTCTTTCTACTTCTTTCGAGTATTTTTTTTTTTTGCTATCAACCCATTCTCTGTTTAAGTAGAGGAAAGAAAAGACTGGAAAAAGTTACTCACTTGTTGCTCATCATTCATTTCTAATTTAAATTATTATCAAGTGTATTTATTCATCTATATGACAATGAATTCAAACATATACTTGAGGCTGATATTATAATGCAAAAGCAAAATACAAGACAAACTTTTTTTTTTCATTTTCATCCAAGTCTTTTACAATAATCAGTAAAGAACCAAACTGCCTGAACACTATGTTTGGTACACAAAGGAGTGATTCTAGTTGAATAAAATGTTAATTTTCTTCCACTATGCAGCCTCATCCATTATTCATTAGCACTTTTCTTTATAGACTTATCCTTGCTTCAGTCACCTCACTTACCAATTCTTCTGTTGAGTTGGGCTGGGCTGGGAGTACCAAAGAGTTCTGATGAACTGGAAAAGGCTGTTGGAGGCAGCAGGGCTGATAATGGGTTATCACAGTTATCTAAAACCAAGAGAAGAGACATACATAAAGTCCATCAAAATATTGCTCTTAGAATAAACAAATGGAAATATTCTCAGACATTATTAACAACAACTCATATTTATTTTAGCCATTAAGATTTGAAAAGCACTTTCTTAACAATAACTTTGTGAGGGAGAAAATGTAGGAAATATTTTGTTCATTTTATACATGAGGAAATCAAGTACAAAAGAGATTAAATATCTTGGTCTTATGGCTAGTAAGTGAGATTCAGGATTTGAACCTAGGTCTTTTGGCCCCATGTCCAGATCTGTTTCCACTTTAATGTTTCCAGAGGAAGAATTAAAAAAAAGGTCTTCCAGAATCTCTGCTTAAAAAGGGGAGGGGGAAGGTAGTAATTATGTTAGATAGAGATTTTAGTTCACCCAACCTCGGGGATTCTGGGAGTAATTTTGAAGATAAGGAAAGAAATTGGGATACATAAATCACCCATAGTTATAAAAAGTTGCCAGAGAACAAAATCACTGTCGGTCACTGAAACAGAAGTAACTTTAATTCCATGGAAACACAGACATGGGTATCTGTGGAAATCATGGAGTAGGCTAAGTTGAAGAAAACAAAAAATGTAAGTAAATAACCAAATAAAATTGGATTATGTTTAAATGAGAGTCCTGTGCAGTTTTTGTTGAAGACATACTTAAACATATCTCTGTTTCAACCATTTTTGTAAATATTTCAAATATTATCTTACTTCACTTTCTAGCCCTACTAAGACAATATTGAACCAAACAGAGCCTTAGTTTGTGGGCTGGGTTTCTTGTGAAGATGAGATCACTATAGTAAACATCAATGGTCAATTTCCAAGAATGGAGAAAGAGGAAGGGGGGGAGAGAGAGAAAGAGAGAGAGAGAGAGAGAGAGAGAGGAGAGAGAGAGAGAGAGAGAGAGAGAGAGAGAGAGAGAGACAGAGAGACAGAGAGAGACAGAGAGAGAAATAGAAGGATAATTTTAATTAGAATTGAGGATAAATATAATGATCTAAATCCAATCTTATTTTATGGCTGAAGTTGAATTTGGTTGAAAAAATTGAGACTCGGGGATTGGTCTGAATGCGAATTTACTATAAGATACAACTCCCTGATCCTACTCTTTTTAAATCAATCAACAAGGATAATTTCAGCCCTAATATATGTAGCAGGCATCTACTAGGTACTGAGACTACAAATACAAAAGTAAGATAGTGCTTACCCTCAAGAAGCTTGTATTCTATATTGTCACATTATTCTTTCCTTTTGAATAGTTTTCTTATTACTTGCCCTAGTCTCCTAAAATTAGTGTGCAGCAAATAACACAAATACATAAAATCCTGTTCAATGGAGATTCTAGAATTCTGGTTAATTCCACTTATATTATAGAGTGAATTTTTCATTATGTCTTAGTGATTTTTTTTAATGACTGAGACATTGCAAAACTTGCATTTTATGAAGTTAGTGACGAATATATTGCACTGGCAAACATCCAGAGCTGGAAGACAGAAATCTTCAGATTTAATCCTTGATTTCCCACTAATTATGTGCCATTGAACAAGTCACTTCCCCCTCTGGCCCTCCATTTCCCTATCTCTATTTTCCATGCTGACTATAAGAGTCTATGATTCTGCATAGCAGGGAGGGAAGTATGAGCCATTTCAAACTATTTCAATACCACCTTCAAACCTGTATTAAACAGTAAAGATTAAATTAATTATATTTTATGAAAAAAAGTGGACAGTTTTAACAAGAAAAAAATTGATTATAGTGCTTTTTCCTTATCTGGTAACTCTTGAAAAGAAGCATTTGGACAATTTGAAGGACAATTAATGAGAAACAGAAGCATTAAATGCTTGTTAGTTGAAATGTGTCAAAAATCAGCTTGGCAAAGTATATTTTGGATTTTACAAAACACAAATGTTTGAAAAATATTATGAGGCATTCTACAAACATAAAACACAGTCAGCTCCTTAATAATGAGGCAGAATCAACAAATGAATGCTGACCAGGCCATAAGAAGAGGGGTTATTGAGAAGTAAACAGCAACAAATGCTGCCTTTTTTTCTTTTGCCCCAGGCTACCTCTTCTGAAGTGAAGATAGGATCATCATCACTAATGATATAAAGAGATTCAAAACTCAGTTCCTAAATCCTCTGAAATGCTTTTTCAAAGATTTTAAAGTTAAAGTGACAAAGCAGAAAAATAAGTTAACCCATTGATCAGTAACACTTATATACACAGTGAGAGATGTCAATCAGTCAATAAACATTTGTTAAGTGTCTACTGTATGCCAGGTACTGTGCTAAACTCTGGGGTATAACTACAAAAAAGAAAGTCCATGCCCTCAAGCAGCTTATAATTAAATGAGAGTAAACAATACACAAAAAAAGGCATGGTAGAAAAGTCAGAAAAATCCCAGAGTAGTGCAGCCAGGTGGGAAATGAAAAGCTCTGAGCTGAGTTCTCTCCTTAAATGTAGCTTTTTGGAGTCCACAGCTTCCCTCTCTAACCAGAACGACAGAGTAGGGTGATGGGGTGTAGAACAAAGGCTGATAGGATCTTGCGGGCTGATGACATTTTCCCAATGATGGGCTTCCCAGGGCATTCATCTATATTAATGCTCAATGGAACTTTATCCCTTTATTTTAATCAATAGGAGATGTTTTCTACAACTTTTTGTAATGAGTAGGTACATAGATCTATATAACAATAAATACAATAAACAATAAAGGGGAAATACACAAACACAAACACAATCTGTTCTATTTGCTGTGGAAACTAAAAATTCAATGAATCCAATTATTTCATTTTTAGATCTTCTCAAATTAGTACCAATCTGATGGTATGCTGATACTGTGTCTTTATAGTTCAAAACAACCTGTCAATTCTGTCAAAAATTCAGTAGGAAAAGTAACTGGGTTGGGGTTTTCTTGTATGTGTTTGCAGAGAGGGTGGAAAGTGGATTTTGATACTCTAGAGATTTTTTTTTTTAGTGAAATTCAGTGTGACTTCAGGAGTGTCACTTCAAAGACAGACAAGGGTGAAGGAGGTAACAGGGAAAACTTCTGAGTGAAATGAAATATAGAGGAGGGGAGAAGAGGGTTCTTTTGGCAGATGACCTCAAGCTTTCCAGTGAATTATGAGATAAGACCTTCAGCTGAAAGGATTGGGGCATAGGTGCCGCAGGAGTTTTGAGGAGGGACAAAAAAACTTTGAGTAGACCTTATGGTGAATAGGATAGTGAATGGAAAAGGGAGATGTAAAAAGTTTGTCTTGCTTCAGAGAGGGTCCAATTTGATATTCCATAACTTTGCAGTAGGACCACACAAAGCAGTTTTGTAAATTTCTCCATCTCCATTTAGCAACATTTGAATAGGAGTGAAAAATTAAATAGTAAGAGTAAATTCAAGGCTGGATCTGGGCAAGGCATAATTGGCCCAGTTAATTCAATGTAGAGTAAAACTAGTTCAACATTGGGGTAGATATAGAGAAGGAAGAGATATATATAGTATATATATATATATATATATATATATATATATATATATATATATATATATATATATATATATATATATATATATATATAGTGTTTGGGGTGATGTCCTGGGAAAGAACTGAGATGTAGAAGTATTTGAATTCATGGTGAGGTTGAAGAATAGTAAGAGACATAAGGAAGTGGAATAGACTGTATGATTAAAAACTGTGCATGAACACTTATGGGTTGTGACAAAATCAAAGATATGAACATCTCTGTCTCCAGTTGAGATTGAGTTTGGAATAGGTCTTAAGAATTTAGTAGACTGAGGACCCAGGAATTTAGGTTGCCTAAGTGGGGATTAATATGAATATTGTATGTATATTGAAAATTTCATACTAAGAGGGAAAATTAGGGTGAAGAAAAAGAGAGGTGGTGACCCTCTGATTATATAGAAATGGATAGATGGGAAAGATATAGTGGTATGAAACAGGGTATAATTTAAAGTGTTAGAAGGTTCTCTGGGGCACTGACATATTAGATGACTTGTTTCTAGTATCAGTGGCTAGACTTGAACCCAGCTTCACCTAATTCCAAGGCCCGCTCTCTACTACACAATGCTGACTATAATTAAGTAGGTATTATCTCAAAAAGCAAACACTCTTTTCTGTAGCATATCATTTTCCCAAATGTCATTAACTTCCTGGCTCTGAGGAAAGCTCTATGTCATGAGGGTGATTAACAAATCTCAGCTTAGACCCTCAAATCCACAATGCCACAGATTTCCTATTTCTACTGTCTGGAGGTGATTTAGTAGATGGTTCAGCTGCTACCCAGAAAAAGTTTACTGGAGATGATTTGCAGGAAAAACACAGGCCCTAGAATCAGGAGAACTGAGTGCTAATTTAGACTCTGCCAATAACTTGTCCTATAATTTCAATCAATTCACTTATCAAGGATGTGCTGGTATCATCTTGAACCGATCAAAAGAGCTAATTGCTACATTTTCAGTATGAGCATTTATACCTTAGAAATCAGCAAATATGATAAACCAGGGCTTGATTTTTGTTTTGTTTTGTTGATTTCTAGACTTAAGAATGTGACATAGAAAATATTATTAATGCAGATTAAACCTAAAACTGTATCATTTGTAAATTTCCCTCCCAGAGACCTGGTTGTTAAATATTCACCAGCACATCACTGCTTTTACTTCACAAAAGATGAAAACATATATGAAGGCTAATTCAAAGCTATAGTAATATAACTTTTTTTTGCACAAAAGTACCCCTAATGGTGGTACTACATATATTTTTTGAAACTTCAAGATGACCTCATTAATAGAAATCATCTCTGCATGTGGAAATGAGAATTAAAAAGAAAAACAACAACTGATTTTTTACATCTATCCCTAAAATAATTCCCTTCCTGGGTCATTTGTTTTCAGAGCCTATTCCTACCTCTGAGATTTCTAAGCTGTCTAGTTATAGAATGGGATAGCTACAATGGATCTCAGATA